ATACAAAACAAAAACTATTAATATTGCGTTAAGGAATACTGACATCCAAGCCACTATTAATTTTTATGAAACTCTAAATTTCAGCCCAATCAATGAATACTTTATCTTTTGTATTTATAACGTATCACACGGTTATCAATAATACATAGTATGTGTATGTATTTCGTAATACTTGTGATGTCCGTTATTTCCCGATTTCAAGTTTCCTATCATATAGCTTTTAAAATTTCTTCCTTACAGCCCAGAAGTAAAATTCATATCCTAGAAATCCAAAAATTTTGGAGTCAACACGTACCCTACTGCTAAGCACTAGATAATTCCCCATTAAATATCATGGGATTTGAATTTTTCAAATGCGCTCAATTTTTTTGATCTTTTTCACTATTTTTTCTCGTTTCTTAAACCATTAAATTTTATTATATATTGCTTGAACTTAAAAACATAATTTCTCGCTGCTCAAAAGAAGTGTAGGAAAAAAATAAGATGTAGGTCTCCGAAGCAGAAGCTGAAAATAAATTGTGCATCAAGTTTAAGAAATATATGTACAATAAATTTTGATTGCTTAAAATTAAAAAAAAAAAAATAATCGAAAGTGGTCTAAATAATTAAAAATACCTACTTCATACGGGTAATAATCTTGTGTCTAACAGTGCATGTCAACGCCAAAATTTTTAGATTTCCTAAGTATGTATTTTTTTTTGTTTTTAGGAAATAATGACGAACATATTTCAAAAGGTACATAATCCAAAAATCAGAATTAGGAAATAGTAGACGTCTTACTGTATATATGTATGCATAAATTTATCTAACAGGTATTTATTGTTGAACCACAGCTGTTACGCATCAAATTTTTTTGTATTCCTTTAATAGTAAATATTTCTGTATGATTAAACACTTTGCTGTGATAAAAATATAAAACACTTCTGAACTGCAAAACAGTAATTTTCAAAATTCTTTCAAAACAAGTTTCACAAATAATTACATATAAGTAACATGTAGTTGTTCAAATAATTGAAACTTGTGTTAAAACTTTCAACTAGTATAGAGAAATGACAGCTCTGTAGAATTTTATGTCTTTTAAATTCTCATATGTAGTCAAGGAAACAGAATTGAATTGTGAGAACCTAAATAAGTTGGTGAAATCAACAAAGAACGTAGTAGCTGGATTTGTATAAAATAGTATCCAATCCAAAAAAATGTACCAAAGATAAATCAAACCAAATATTAGACGTTACGAATGTCTGTTGGTATTATATGTTTGAAATTTAATTATGTAATGAGAAAGAATAATTAAATCCACAAATAATTTTAACTCCAAACAGTTTGTAATATATACTCTATGACGTTTCTTTATGTATACAGTTTTTGACGATAACAACAAAAAGATTAGTGCCCACTATTTTCTTTTGGAAAGTCTCTTTGCTTTCTGCTTTATCACTGTTGCCTAGCTAAGGTAAAAAAATGTGGAAGTTAAAAAGTGCAGTGGTTAATAAGGTAGAAACTCCAATTTCTCTTGAGATGTAGTGAAAAACAGTGCAAAACATTTTTCTTAAAAAAAAAAAAAAAAAAAAAAAATTCACACTCTAAACGTTTGTGAAATTGATTTAATACCAACTCAATACAATTAAGAAGTCACTTAAAAATAAGTAAATGAGATTTTGACGGTTACAATATTGTTAAATTAGTAATGTAAAATGTAATTTTTAATACTATTGAATAAAATGTCAAAAAAATAATGTGGGTATCGCATAGGTTTCTTTAACACTTTTCATTTTATTATTTAACGTTGTAAGATGCGACTTTATTGATTTATTGACAAATGTATTTTTAAATTTTTCATCTTTCGCGCCAACGTAGTGGTGCCCCGTCTGAGATTCCTGCCACCCTGGGAAACAAAGTTCAGATTTTCAGATAAATAAACTAAACATCCACTGTTAGTAACTTGTATGGTCGAAAATATAGTTCGCAATAAGAAAAAAAACTTTCTTGTTGATTACAACGTAAGTGATGTATTTTATAATAATCCAAAAAATAGCTACGAGCCTCTTATTCAAGCCCTAATGACGTTTTATGTAACAGTATTTTTCGTCTATGAAAATTATATTAAAACATAAATTAGAATAATGACGCAAAGTAATGTTGAAAATACATAAAACTGTACTGTTAACGTGATAAACTCTTAAATTGTAAAAAGAACTTGCAGAAGAACATAAAATTGAAACAAAATATACTTTTATAATTTCACATTTATAAGGTTTACCTTTTTTAACTCTTTTTTTGGTTCGGACTTTTTTTCTACAGATGTTTACCTGGTTTATCACTAGTAACAGTGTATTCGTTTTTTTTCGTTTTTTTGCCTGACAGAGTCGTCATTTGCACAACTTTTATCTGTACTATTTGGAGCATAGAGGCCAGCTTGGCTAATTTCCTCATCTTTCGTGATTTTTCTTTCTTTAAATTGTTATTTTTATTTGCTTGTTTTGTTATGAAAAATATTTTAGTTGTTAAATTAAAAGTTATAATTTTGTGTGTCGATAATAAGTAATATCTTTCATAACCTACGTTGGGCACAGAACCCATATCGTCGAAAGACGTAGTGATATCAAATATTGTTTGAAAATCTATTACACCCTCATTAACGACTCTTAGCACATCAGGTTTAAGTTAAGTTATCAAAAAAAATAGCTGCATAGATGGTTTTAACAAATACCCCTTACTCCTCGTTTCTATAAATTTGTAAGCCTCTGTGATTTTTTCTTCATTGTTTAATGTGAGGGTGGTCACTTTTAAGCTTCCCAGTTTTTATTGTAGCAAATCTACTACTTTGTTGAGCCACAAAACCACTGATGGATGCAAGAACATATTCTGATGATGAACACTGGAAGTAATCGTACTCGTTCAAAAGAATGGCCGTGTCATTGATACGATTAGCGTGAAATAACTGTACGTATTTTATGTGCATAATTTTATGCACTTAAATGTGTAAGACGTTTTATGCACTTCAAACACGTTAAAATTATACGTTTTGATGCGTAACTATGAAAATACACGTTTAAGATGAATACCACTACACACTTTATCTACGTATTTTGCGAATTTACTTTAATTGTGTAATATTTACGTACATAAAGTGCATAAAATAATACGCACGTCCAAGTGCATTGTTTTTAGCTGTTTTACGTGTGTAACCTAGAATTCGCTTAAAACACATTATTTCTCCCAAACGAGAAACAATAAGTTGCGTATCACGTCGCTCGCGAGAAAGGTCGACTTTTAAGTTACCAAATAGTTGAAAAGTAGTACGAAAGAGTAATCAGTCGGTTCTTTGAGTGTATCTGCAGATGGTAAGTATGAATATAATCGTTGTGATAACTTTTCTATATGCCACGGCCTAAGGCGTTCAAGCGCAATAACAAATCTAACCTACAAATACCCTTACGTCTCGGTCGTGGTCTTGGTAGTATAAACACTGTTTCATGTTTGTTATCGGCGTTAAGATGATTGTGTTGCAAAAATTACAATATGAAAAACTGAGATTTTTATCGCACTTTCTTATATATATCCGTACTTTTTACTCATCGAGCGTAAGCCCGATGAAGCTGTGGCTTACCTATCATGGTCCAGATAGGCATTCTCTCCAGAGAGGATGATAAGTGCACTGCCCCAGGACGTGCTTTTCTTCGAAATTGCGCTACTGTCTCTTTGGTAATACGACTATTAGAGCAACAACTCACCTCCTATGCTCAATAATAGCCTTGCATGACCATTTAGATTTATGAGGGTTAGTCAATACCAAGGACCACAACCCATTTGGTGATTTTAAGTTCAATGGCATCACTCCGGTGTATTATGATGTCTCGAAGATGCACGTCACGTTTGATATGCATGGCAACGATATCATCCACATCCAAGCCAAGCACATGGCTAGTGATCACAGCAAGTACATTGGTATCACCAACGACAAGGGACGAGATCGACTTCATGCTGTCTGACGTTAAGTGATATCGCAAGCAGCATCAGTTACAGTGCGTAATGGTAGATGTACGCAGTCAGCTTGAAACTTACATCAGCTCAACCTAGCAGGCTACTGAGGAGAGTGGTGAAAAAGCCAGGATGAAATATCGAGCCTCTTATTGCGATGAGAAAGGTAAAGGTAAACATTGAATCCATTGAAGAATTATTCATTCAAATTAAATACATTATACAAATACTATTTTTGTAAATTAATGTACGTTACGTACAAACATGTATATAAATATTATGAATAAACGCAGGTGAAAATTTATTGTATGTTCCACAGGCCAGTGATCCACATCTCAAGGCGCAAGGGTATACGCATTAGAGGCCCACTTGTACACTCTTCCATCTATTTATCCAAACTCATGTAATTTACTGTAGTATCAATGGCTGGATACTGACTCAAATACGTTACAGGTGAGCATTGTGAAAAAAAAAATTTTTAGCTCATCAATAATCATTGTTGCTGTTCACACACAAATATTAGTTTTGAGACTTATAACACGTGGATTTCATATTTATTAGTAATTATAAGTAAAACTCTACACGTTTATTAACATAGCAGTGGCACATATTTTTGAAAATTTATTGTAAACAAAGAAAGTGGATGAGGAAATCGCAAATTTTCCATGTTAAGAAGGCGTAAATTAATTCTTCCCACTTTTTCTATAATAGTGTAAGCATTGAGAAATTGCTCGAAACGTAAGGTAGTCAATATGGTAAATACTAAGAAGTTTGTATTGCCAAGTATAATAATTTCTTGAATCAATCCAAAAATAGGTAGGGCTTCTTCATTGCATTCAAGTAGAATAATTCTTTTCTTCCTGTATTCAGTTCCATGGATAACTACTTTTGGTGAGAACATTCCACGGGATGTTAACTTATCGGCTTCATCAATCATACCATCAAACAGATGTGCGTACCCAGAGTTACGAAGATACATTGTTCGACCTGGCTTAACAATATCTCCTTTGTATAGAAAATTATAGGATTGGACCCCAGGAGAAGCCATCAAGTTGGTACATTGTTTTGCTTGAAATCTGTAAGCCAATGAATACTCAATATTTTTAAAATTTCTTACTATTGGCACCAATTTTTTTAAATACAAATGTAAAGCTTCAAATCTGAAGCACCATTGCTGCCTCAGTGGTCCAAAAAGAGCAATATATCTTGGAAGATGTATTAAAAAATGTAATTTCGGTATTATTTCTTCGGGAAATAAACGTACAAACTCAGTTATGAATCTTTGTATCATGTATTTTAAGTAGGGAACTGTTTCTTCAGAAATTTCGTATGCCAAACAAACGTTAGTGATTTGTAATATATTTACAAAAAACTCCAAAATTTCTTTTAAATTTTCATCGTCACATGATACAGTCCACTCGTAAATCAAAAATAGTAATGTGTAAGTTAACGTTAAAGTTTGAGCAGCAGATTGACGTAACGAATTTCCTTGCATAAGGTGTTCTTCAGATATACATACTGGTTTATCTTTTTTCAAGTGACCAAACTCAAAATTATTTAATTTTTGATAAAATTTTGAAACTGAAAATAACTGTAATTGAACTATACACTTTTGTAAAACAAGCTTGCACATTAGCTGCAAAAGACCTTCTATTACTACATGCATGGTATCTTGTGGAAGGCACTTCGTCACATCGATTACTTTTATCAAGGGGCTTTTTCTGTTAACTCCATAAAATTTTTTCCAATAATTTTTTGCTGCTAAAGTTAAAGTTTGGTCAGTAACAGCCTCAGTATGGTCTTGGTGTTCGATCTCATTCCGCAGATGAAAATCCTCTTCTTTAAAATTATGTTTCCACTGATGTTTATCAGTAACACATGTTCTACAAGGTCGATGAGCTGAGACAGACTCCTTAAATCCACCTAGTGAGGCAGATGCTGGTGTGTCACCAGCACAAAAAAGTAACAATCCCTTAAAATTATGTATTCTTCCATCAACGTATACATCGATACCAGTAGTCTGTAGTATTTCTATTTCTTGAACGAATGATTCCAGAATAACATCTAAAGCTTGAGATTTTTTAAGTAGCTTTGTTTTAACAATTGCATAGAGTTGAAACGCATTTAGGGAAGATCTATACTCTGGATAAATATTAGCAATAGTCCAGTAAAACATTAATGGTTTTTGGGAATTAGCAGCAGAGCCAAGGGGGTTAGCAACACATATGTCATTGTAATAAGAAATTATTCCAATTGCTTTGGAATTATTCTTAAAAAAGTTGTTTTCTCTGTAATACTGACCATCCAAAACTATTCTGTACAATCCTTCTGTGTGACGTTTAGGATTCAAAATGTTGGATCTTATTTTCTTGTTTTGCAACAAATTTTTTAAGTTTTCGATTAATGGCACAATATAGGCATTGTACGTGACTTCTTTAAACTTTGGTACTGTATTATTACCGATTTTTACATTTTTCCATTTTAGCTGTGTATCAATAATTTTTTTATACGGTTGTACCATGTTATACTGCTGAATCAAAATATTGTTTAAGGAACTTCGTGTTTGAATGGATGAGAAAATGATGGTTGGAGGATATTTTTCTTGCAAAACAGCTATGACATCTCTTTCAATGTGCACAGTTTTTAATTCAGCATTCTGTCTCGTAGAAAATTCTTCCTAAAAGCGCATTAAAATTATTTTTATCAATTAAAATTCATAAAACGAAAGAAAAAATTGTGTCTTACTAGAATCTATAAATTATACTCATCTAATAAGCCTTGTACACCGTTGATGGTAGAACTCATTGCACTTTCAGACAAATTACAGTTTTCTCGTATACCAAATACAAATTGCATTGCAAAGTTTTGTAAGCGATCAAACTCAGATTCATTACTATGGGGTTCCTCAACTGCGATAAGTAAAAAACAATTTCAGTAATTAAAAAATCCTTTTAAATTGAAAATTTTATGTAATAAGCTTGAAATAACTATTTTATTTTATTGCAATATCACAACAGCATTCGTAGTGTTAAAATATATCATTAAAATAAAAAAAAGTTTGAGGTCACTTCCAATGCAGAAATTTATAAACACAAATTTTTTTTAATTATTTGGAATTAAAATATATTTAAATTAATATTATGACAAATTAAAATAAAATTATAGCATTGCCACATTAATATAATAAACAGTTGGAAAAAGTGAATAATCCAAATGCCCACTCTTATAATTTCTTAAAAAATCTGTTCCCTGTAGTATTTGAAATAATTGAAAAATGTAGATACCATGATCGACTTCCATCGGAAATTCTTCGTTATTTTCTGCCAATGTCATGGGCACTGCATCAATTTCGGCAGACTCATCGTTATCATTACATTCGATTTTGTGCTTTCTTGAAACGTGGACTTTAAAAGTTTTCCAGCTTCTAAAAGTAGCACCACATTCTTTACACTGAATTTAAAAGTTTCTTTCACATTTATGATTTTTAATGATGTGATTTAAAAGTTCAGAGTCTTTTCGGCATTTAAAGAAGCACATAGTGCATTGAAAATTGTTACGACGGGTTTCCATTTTTAATAGTCAAGTTGTATAAAAAAAATAACTCATAGGAATACAATTTTTCTTAATTATTTAACAAATATTTTCTATTGTTCTTACTATATTCACAACAAAATTACCATCACGAACTTACGTGTCCACTCATTTTTGTATAAAGTTAGTGGAATATGTACATTAGGAAAAAAAGAAAAAAAATAGGCAAGAAATTTATTCTAAAATGGGACTAACTGCGATCGTCCTTTCGTGTCAAGTATAACTGAAAAATCATCGTATACTTTGTAGTTATGTATTACTAGTTCCTGTTGGTCAGTGCTAAAAGCTCGTATCCAATCGTAAGTGCAAGCGCCCCTCTCCCCTCCCCTAGCGGCGATACTCTCGTCAATTTGATCCCTCTCTCTCACTCTCATGGGCTCCAATGGTTACGCTGTGCGTGTTACCCTCTCCATGTGACCTCAGCCCCTCACAGCTATGGATAGAAAGACGTATAACTATATAAAAATACGTATATGTATAAGGTACCAAAATTTGAGATACTTTAAATCCAAGGTTGTTAAATGGCCTAAAGAGCGAGAGAGAGAAGAAAAATGTAAACATAGCCTACATGTATTGTTGTCAGAGTATGTGTTTGTTTTGACCGAGTTAAAGCTGTGAGTTTAGTAGTCGATATTTTTTACAAACAACATAAAAATTCGTAGAATAGCTTAGTCCAGTTCAGACTTGCACTTTTAACAAGTAACACAAAAGGCAGTACGGGAATAAAAGTTTATTCGTTGAGTAGAAAATTTTTTTGGTTAGTCACGTTTTCTCTGACGCCCGGTTCACTACCTCCTACTAATTATCTGTATTTTTATTACCACAAAAGCTATCAAAGAGGATAATTGTATTTAGCTGAATAATTGTGCTGTCACTTACAGTTACACATAGTGTTTTTTCTTTAATTTATTTCGTTTCAAACTCAGATAAAATGGAAAAAATCGTGTATTGTGCAATTCATCCAAAAAGAAAGTGTATAAAATACACCACAAAAGCAAATGAATCCGAATTAAAAAGTTTTTTGCAATCTTTTGATGTGATAGTGCAAAAAGATAGTATACTTAAAGGAATGTTAGAAAAAAAACTGTACTCTTTTCAGCACCTGGACGTTAATGGTGAATGGTGTGACATAGAGGATGACGATTTAATTTCGACAGAGGTGAAAGTCGTGTTCATTCCAGAGGAAAATATGCAAGCACCTTTTACTTCATCTAATGGTAATACTAGTGATTCACAAACTGCTAACGGGCTTCAGGGTATGAAGATTTTGTACACCGAACCTCCAAGAAAAAGGCGAAAAACTGATTATCACAGTGAACTGCAACACGTTGAAAATGTCTTGTTCGACTTGGATGATATCACTGAATTAATGCTAGAAAAGACACCATCTTCATACCAAGTTGAAAATCCTCAAAAAAATACAAGCGTTGAGCAGAATAAATCAAACGAAGATGTGAATATGGTAACTTAAAAAGATATTTTCAAGCCCTGTGCATGTTATTCAGTTTCTTTTATTTTTTTACATTATTTTTTCAAATCTTACAGGCAAGTACTGAGTTTGCTGATAAAGCCAGTAGTTCAAAAAAAAAAACATCAATTAGAAAAAAATTTAATATAATGAGTCTTCCGCATCTCAGCTATGATTTAAAAAATAAAATTGAAAAGGATGGTATGGAGAAGTCACAAAAGGAATTGATCAGATTTTTCGGACAATATTTGTGACAGGAAACAGATGGTGATCCATCAAAACAGCAGTACAATGATTTAGGGAGCAAAATAGAAAATAAGTATCCTTTACTAAGAGGTGGTGAAAACGATAACGTAAGAAATTTTGTTGATGTTTTTGTTCAAGCGGCTTTTAATAATTTTATTTTTCATGCTTATTAATTCGCAGGGCATCGTCAGAAAACAGCTAAGCATTTGGATTCGAAACCATCGCCAAATTATAAAAAAAATATCAAAAAAACAACAAAATTTAAACCCAGAGGAAAAGAGTCAATCTCGAGCAAAAGCTACAATTGTTGATCAACAGTAAGTTTAAAAAATTGTCTTATTATTGTGTAATTACATAAGCTTAATATTTCGCACTTCTACTATTACGTGATTAACGATAACTTACATTACTTTACAGACATAATATTGTTTTTATGATTTCTGACGAGGATTTGGAAAATGGACTTCGGGAGCTGGAAAAATTCAAAAATGGAAGAAATATTTCCCACTTCAAAAGACTACTAGTGATTACCCAGGATCACAGAAGAAAATAGATTGAGAGAGAAGCTGAAAATGTTGCTCTTATTGTGGAGAAGTATCCAGCTCTTCAAAATTTCGAAATGGTACGAAAAATAAGAATTACTTTTTTTTTTTTTATACCAATGTATGATTCATGTAAATCAACATGGGGGTAATTTTTTTCCTATAGATTCTCCGAGAAACTTTTATGATCTTAAATATAACTGAAGCTGATGTATACGATGATTGTGACGTATTTTCAAACGATCTATGTAACTACTATAGTAATAATTTATCAGTAAACGATAATGCAGAGATGAAGAAATTGATAGCCGTCGCAAACATGTACTTAGAGTTACTACCAAGTACACTAAAAAACTCTGTGCTGTATCCTCTGTGGAAAATAATGCTAGTAAGTTTTTTTTTAATTTTCATGTCTTCAACAACTTGTTACAATTTTTATTATATAATTTACAACATTTTTTAGGTTTTAGATTCATCACATATTCTGTTTTCCCCAAGACAGTCTCCTCCTAGAGCTGTTATATTTGTTGCAGAAAACATTGTAGTCCAAGCATTTATTGTAGCAGATGAAAGTGTAAGGATTGAAATAGACAATCCTTCTGTCAGCAAGATATTGATTGTACTGTTATCGTCGTATTATGCGTGGCACAGAAATTTTCCAAAAGCATTTAATAATTCTCTAGGATTCTTGTCCATGAAACTTTTTGGCATTAACCAAAAGAAAAGTACAGCTCTTGAAAAGTTTATAAGAAATTGGGAAAACTCTTTGTAGAGTCTTGTTGTGTTCAAGTTATCCCACATATAAGCTATGTTAATTGGTTAAAAATATCCATTAGTGTATAAAATATATAGTTTAAAACACGTAAACTAAGTAATAATGTAGTGTATGATTAGCTATTGATAGTAATTCATTCATGTATTAAAAAGATAAAAGAATTTCTTTGTACTTTCATTTTCTAATAAAATATTTTATTTTGTCTAAAAGAAATTAACTAGTTTTATTGACATTTATTTAATTTTTGTATTCTGAAAATTATCTATTTTTCTCATATTCCTTGTTTTTCTTGTACTCTTATTAAGTATTTATTTGTGTACGTGAACAAAATTAGACTTAAAGTTACAAGGACGATGAATATGAAAACTCCATTTTCAAATTTTCATAAACTATTGCCAATCATACCACTTTCTTTAATTTTTCGAATGCGTAGACTACTTAAAAATGTAAAATAGAAATTTATTTATTTTTTGAAGTAACGATTGATTAAACGTTTCAAAAAACAAATAAATTTCTATTTTTCACTTAAAAGCATTTTCAACGCATGAAAAATAAATTAACTCGCTTTAAACGCATTAATACGATATACATTTAAAGCACATACAAAAATTATTATATATTTAAAATGCATAAATTCACCAGTTTTATGCATTTCAAGTGCATAGTTTTTACACACATGGGTGTGTAAGTTAGCAAACTTGAGTTGCATTCGTTCCTTACACACGTAGAAACGTGTAAAAAGTGTTACAAGCAAAGTATGCACTAAGTGAATAGAAATAATGCACTTAATTGGATTTGCAGTGAATGCCTTTGTCTAAAATAGTATCTATTTGAGCATTTCACTTTTGTAATTTCTCATCTTCGTCCTTAATATCTCTTATATTAACAAGTACGTAAGTAAGTTGTACTAAATACACACAAACTTAATCGCTCGCTTGACTCATAACTCCTACGAGTCGTTATGAGAGCCGAGCTAAACCGTCATCACTACTATTGCCTTGCTTTGTCTGCGAACTCGAGTCAGTTAGCGACAAGCGCTCAAGATGTTAACACTAAATATATTATAGATATCTGAATTGTGAATAATGCTGTTATAAGTGTTAAATACGAAAATCCGACATAATTGTTGATTCAGGTAATCAACAGTCAAACGTTATTTCCATTCAAATATTGTGTATTGTTAGTGACAGTTATTGTTATTACTAAAATTACAGTTATTTTGCATCAACTTGTGTCTGATTCTGAGTTATTCAGCCGATTTCCTTATCATCCGAAGTTCCAGCCTAAAGATAAGGCTTGAAACTTACACGTGTACTAAATTACTACCACATACCTTAGATCCTTTCGCTGGTTTAATTAATGAGTATGCCGATACTATAGTTTATACATTTGAAAGAATAAATTAGAATAAGGGTGTTGTTTGATTCACAACAATGTCTTATCATTTTAAAAAATCGCTAAAAATAAAACTTCATTAAGATTTTGAACAAAATAAGTTCAATATGTCATTATGCAATTCCCCTTACTTCTTACAAAATATTATGATAAAAATTACTGTACGCAGAATACAATCGTAGTACTAGTTTCCATCGCAAATGTGCGCGTATGCGGTCCCTGGACCCGAAAGCGCTTGCAAAGCACTCAGGCGCATCAGCCGTTAGAAAAACGGCCGAAGTAAAAAAAAAATTTCCTATTTTTTGTGTTTTTAAGGGGTGTTTTTAAGGGGTTGGTTTGTTCTCAGTAGGAGAAACAGTGTTCACCACATAGGCGCCATCTAACTGGAGTTACCTCATGGTCGTGAAATCACTTTTGCGACAAAATAATAAATTTCGTACCACAGAGAAGCACGGGCGTTCGAAGGGCTCGGGGTTGTATCTTAGTTTCCGAGGTGCGAACGATCTTTTATATCATCGGTGCAAAGTGATATTTTGGGCTCTTGGGCACACTTTGTGTCTGCTTATTACTTTGTACCCTTGGGATAAAAAGTGCTTTCCAGTCTAGAGGACGGTAGAAAATTTATTATTTTATTATTTTCAGCCTCATGAGAAGCAAAATTTTGTATACAAAGCATCAGCTTATTT